CCACGATTAGAAGACGATGACACCACGAACAACGGCCACAAGCATGCGCTCGCAAGCATAACCCGTCGATGGCTGTAGTCTTCTGAGCGTGTTGAGGCCAGACCCAGCAGGCCCAACTGCTGCCTCTGGTCGCAGACCTCGTACAGGACCCATTGCAGCCTGCAGGGTTCTATGTAAGATGTGCATTTGCTGTTACAGATGTGTTCGTAGGTTACATATGTGCATGTATGAAACAGGGGCCTCCCGAGTCAACGCCGCAAGGTCAGAGCCTTGGGCTGGTACTCGACAAGAGGAAAATTCGCAGGAGTGAAAACGCGCCACCCACTTGGCACGGAGCAGGAGTAGCCTTCGGTCATGCTGGCAAGCCTGAGCTGTTTTCTTAACGACCTTTCTAACCCACCAAAGGCCCCAAGAAGCCGTGCCGCAACCCGCACCCGGAAACCTTGAACCCTCAACCTGAAAATCCTAAACCCTAAACCCTAAACACCCAAAACAAAACTGAATCCTAGACCAGCACAAAGGCTGCCATCCTCGGGCCTTGTGAAGTCAGCACTGGTCAAGTTGTGCCTGGCTCCCTGCAACTCCTGCAACTGCGTTTGCCTGTTCCTTCACCTACCAAAACCCACTTTTTTTGTAGGTTCTCATAATATGGGATTTATAGGGACCCTACAGAAAAAGTAGGTTTTGGTGGGTTAAGGTTGCTTTTGCTTATCTGTCTTGGCATTGATGAAACTCCTTCGCAACTTGTCTGTACCGTGAACTGCGCTTGTCTCTGTCATCATATAAGCCGATGATATTTATGATTTTAGTTTGGGTTGTTCTGTTAAGTTTGCCTGCATAGACATCATATAATAGTGTCACAATGTTGGATGGTCTTACTCATGTCAGCAGTAGCTAAATCAAAAGCAGATTTCCTCAACATAATGTAATACCTGAGTATGTTTGGGAATGCTGTTCCGGAAATTCACTTAAACAGTTTTACAATACATAGGGTAGCATATATACTCATGAAAACCACCATTTTCGGTGCCGTTTTGATTGTTGCATCGAAACCCATTGTTCCGTACCGAAATCCTGTTTCAATCCTCGCCTGCTTTAGGGGAAACGGGGCGAACACATGGTACAATTGTCCATTTCTGCATCGGAACCTGGGGTCTTACACCGCAACTCCGTCTACATCTTTATTTCTCCTACTTTAAGGGAAAATATGTAAATGGTTATTCATAGGAAAAAATGGGATTCTGTCGAAAACGAACGGTTTTCGAATGTTGCATGGATTCGCATCGAAATCCTATCTTTCCTTTTTCATGAAAGTCTTGAGCTCCAATTCCTTTCATGGTTGCTGCACACGAAAATTGTTCCAGAGATTTGTGACTCTAGCCCTGTACTGCACGTCATAATCCTAAGCCCTAAACCCTCGAAGGGTCTCTGGTGTAGGGAATCGTACAAACGTGCAGAGGCTGTCCTTGCTGACAAGCGCACTCCTTGTTGTGGCATCTGGCAGAGGTATAAGTATTCGCCTGACACACGGCTCTCCACGACAGAGATATGGTCTGCGGTGGAATAAACACCCCTGCAAGGCCTGGGGAGACGCCGAAGAACGGCATCATCCAATTCACTTGGCCTGCCATCCGAAAGCAGTCTTGCTGACTCTGCTGCCGCTGCCGCTGCAAAATGGCAAAAGCCACATCCCGGGCTGGCTTTGCACGCGAAACACCGATGGAGCCTTGCTACATGCTGCTACAAACTCAGGCCGCGGTTGGCGGAGAGCTACATCTGAAGGGTTGTTCCAAACCAGGGTTTCGTTTCATGTAGCCCAGAGTGTAACCACAAGAATATGCAATCGACACAAGTTAAAACCAAAAACAACCCAACTCCCCAAGATAGAACAACCCCTCTCCTGGCATTTTTTGGAACAGTATATAGTACAAGGACCCGAGTTTACTCGGAATAAGGATTTGGGGAAATTTTGGGTATAGTATGTAGTATAATACCAGAGCTATACAGGGACTATCATGGGATATCTAAATCCTGGACTATAAACCCTCACGCCCCGAGCAACCCTTCTTGTGGCATTAGCTGGAAGTCTTGAAAGTCTGTGAAACAGTTGTCGCCACCATCTTCGGGAGCGACTCATTCCAAACCAAATCCTGCAGGCCAAGATGCATGGGAGCAGTCGAGCATATGAGTTTACTATAGTGGCCCTTGATGATTGCATGTGTTTTTCCATCTTCCTTACATGCTCCCTTGATACAAAACAAGTAAGAGAACGTCCAAAAAACGCAATAATGCTCTAACCCGAGAAGCTTAGAAGCACACTCTCACACCAAAGCCTATTGAAATCTTCAGGCCCCCAAAGCCAGGGCTTTGGGTTTGGTGGGGCTTCGGGTTCAGAGTTGTGTTTAGGCTTTAGAGAAGGGCACGCTTTCTTAGTCAAGGCTATAGGCTAAATTAACGCATCTACAGGGTTTAGGGTTTAGTGGTTTACTTTTTGAATAGGGTTTGGGAGTTTAGGGTTTCGGGTTTAGGGTCTGGGGTTTTAAATTTTAGAGGGTTTTAGGTTCAGGGCTTTTTCCCAGCACCTCCTTTTGAGTCTTTCGTACATCGCGACTGACTTCGGTCCAGGGCCATCCCTCTGAGTCGAGAGTTCGAGATTCAGAAACTGGACCGTAATAAGACTGTCACCATCAACAAGATCACTACATACTGCACTATGGTGTTCTAGCTCCAAAGCCCGCGACCCTTATAGTATCCCTTATGCTAACCTACCGTATAGTAACTCCAAAGCCGAAGATGCCCTGATCCAAGCCTAAACCATAAACCCTACACCGCAGACACATGCCTTCGGCGTTGTGCATCGCGGTGGTGATCATCCGCTCCAGCTTCGCTTCAGAGCCTCTGTTTTGAAGGAGGAGTTCAGGGTTTAGGGGTTCAGGGTCTTGGGTTTGGGGTTTGGGGTTGAGAGTTTCTAGGTTTAGGGTTTTCTTGTTTTTTGAACACCTTTTGGGTTTAGGGTTCAGGGCTTGGGGCTTGGGGTCTAGCAGTCTCTGGGGCCCGGGCCGTACTCTGGGAGAAGCAGCAGATTGAAGCCTCACGGCCCGCAAGCAAACCACGGAGAATCAAGAACCATACTAGTAATATAGGGGCCGTAGTAATTAGAATAGGGTTTTGGGATCCTTTATAGTATACTTCTTATGAGGCACCGTGAGGAATACTGGTAAGTATTTAGGCTTCTGCAGTAGCTACTCCCAGCACTCCAATCAGAGACAGAAGAGAGGCCAACAGACACCCTACGTCCACCCCTAAACCCTAAACCCTAAACCCTAAACCCTAAATCCTAAACCCTAAACCCTAAACCCTAAACCAAACGTCCCACCCTTCCTAAACCGACTCTAGACCCGAAGCGCCCTCTCCCAGTCCCAAAGACCTTCACCAAGCCATAATATAGGGGCCTTAATATGTAGAGTAGGGTTTTTAGGGTTCCTTATTATGATTATAATAGAGTATACCCCAAAACCCTATTCTAATTAAGGCCTCTATAATTAAACCCCTTGCATTACCTCGTTTCTAAGCCTCTCCCGTCCCCAAGCTCTCTTCAAACTCTAAAGCCCCAACCCTGAACACGGAGCCCCATTCGAGACTTGAGCACAGTTTTGACGAAGACAAACCGTCTTCCGCAAAGCGTCGGGCAAAAGGCCCGAGACGTCCTGTCGATCTTTCTATCTATCTACCTATCTATCTGCCTCTATACTTATACATATGTGTAAGTATTGGTAGCGCTTGACAATAGATGCTTGGATGATGACGTCTATACCAACATTTTGAACCGGGCAGGGTTGGGGGTTGCATGTTCTCACTTGACCCTTCCCCGCCAGTCTGCCCAATCCCGAAGCCCCAAGCCCTTGAACTCCTAAACTCCTAAACTCTAAACCCTAAACTCCTGAACCCTAAGCCCTAAACCCTAGGTTAATCGGAATCCTGAGCCTGAAGACTCCGTGAAAAGCGAGAGCCCCTACTCTGACGATAAAGACTCCATGAGAACACGAGAGCCCCGACTCTTAGAGGACATAGCTCCCAGATTTTATTTCAAGGCAGGGAGCTGGCAGACCCCAAAACCCCCCTTTGTAATTCCTAAAACCCCTGAACCCCTTAGATCCTAAACTCATATATGGGTTTAGGGTTTATATAAACCCCTAAACCCCAAAACCCTAAACCCTCTTAGTGCAGCGCATGTGTGCGCTGTCGGAAGCCGCTCTGTAGGCTCCTTCAGCAGCTTACGAAGACTGGCGATCACGGTGTACGTTTGGGGTTTTAGGGCTTAGGGGGCTGAGCGTCCAGGGCTTAGGGGCTTTGGGGGTGTATGGGCTGAGGGTTTAAGTTGAGTTGTTGTTTTAAGGTTTCAGGTGGGGACCTGAGGCTCCATGCGATGGCTCAATGGTCATAACATCACGGCTTAGGGTTTAGGGTTTAGGGCTTAAGGGTTTAGGGTTTAAGGGCTTAGGGTTTTTTGCAGGGAAGTGAGGTTTGCAAATCCATGGTCATGCAAATGCTCACTCAGCCGAACCTTCGTAGTCCTTACCACCAGGCCCGACGACAACCTCCACGCTAAAGCCTTGACTCTGAAACCTCAACACGAAAACGAAACTACTAATTCTTCAGTTCCCTAACCCAAAACCCCCAACCCCCAAATCCCCAAACCGACACCCTAGACCCTAAACCCTTCTAAACCCTATTAAACCAAAAACCTAAGGTGACCCAAGGAGTTGCATTGATGAGCCCATGGCATCTCCATTGCGTTGGATGACGAGCTGCAGCTCTTGAAGTCCTCCCACCTTATGCCAAGATTGGGGCTTCAGGGCTCCAGGGTTTAGGATTTTGGGGTTAGGGTTGGGGGTGTTGGGGGTTCGGGTTTAGGGATAGCGCTGGGGCCGTTGGGGTTTCACGACATCATCACTATAGTCACTGTAGTGTGTAGGAGCTATGAAGGGGTACCTGGTAGTTATTCATATCCCTGTGTATTCCAATCAGGGCTTGGGGTTAGGGTTTACACGTTCAGGGCTAGGGGCTTCGGTTTTGACTTCTTAGGTTTCGACTCCTTGTTCCTCAGGTTTGCTTAATTAAAGGTGATCGCCGAAGAATGGCCCGCGATTCGCCGATGTGAAGCACCAAAATTTGGCTTTGAAGCAGAACCGCCCAGTTGCTGCAAACACTGTGCACTTATCGATTTGTGGAATAAATCACAAGGGGCGTCCTGGAGCTTCACTTCGTCAGAAGCTTGTTACTCCTATTGCTGCACAATAAACTTTAGGGTCTGCGAGCTCCAGCAACGATGCTCAGCATCTGACAGGAGCCAGGTCGCTACCCGTCACGAAGGACAGAAACCGCTTCTTCTGAACCTGAAACAGCATGGAGGCTTCAGCGAAAGACTGTCGCAAAAGATACGTGCAGGAGCCTTGTCAAAGTTCAACAAAAGGTCCCAGAAGGACTTGATGTAGGACGAGTCCTACGACAAAAAAACTCACCTGGACATATGGGCATCTCTCTACCATGCTACTACACACATGTACGTGTATGCATGTACGTGTATACATACATACATACATACATACATACATACATACATACATACATACATACCTACATACCATAGTCACACCATACATACCGTACACACATACCCTACCTACGCACCTACCTACCCACCTACCCACCTACCCACCTACCTGCCTACCTGCCTACCTGCCTACCCGCCTGCCTGCCTACCTGTCTACCTGCCTACCTGCCTACCT